AATTTCGCGCGTAGATGATATATGCCTAATGTCACGCAAACTTGAAGACTTACAGGCGAAAATCAACAAACTGGCTGAAGAGGCAGTGAAAACAGGACTGCAGGTGAACGCAAAGAAGACGGAGGTGATGCAGATAACCAACAACAACAGAGAACTAACGACCAGCACCATTCACCATCAGCGGAAGAGATTTAAAAGACACTTATCTCGGAAGCATCGTTTCCACCAGAGGCAGCTGGAATGGAAGAAGATCTCAAAGCCAGCTAGAGCTGAAAAGGCAAGATACACATGCCTTCATCAACCTGAAACCAGTTAAGAAGTCTTCCACACTCGGCATAAGGAACACGCTTTGCATTTTCAACGCCACTGTGAAGACGGTTCTCCAATACGCGTCAGAAACCTGATCAGCGTGTCACGATATGGGTTCCCAACAGGCTGCAGACTTTCATGAACAGCTACCCGCTTCGCAGGCTCTATAGTGAAGATCAAATTGCCAGAAAGAATAAGCAATAAGAAACTATGGGAACGAACCAACCAATAGCAGAGCGTTCAACAAATATGTGGGCAAAAATGGAGATGGATCGGGCATACATTTAAGAGGCCGCCGAATGAAATCGCACGCAAGGCAGGCCATAGCTTGAGTGGAATCCCAGTAGGAAGCGACAAGTGGGCCGTCTCAGGGTGGCATGGAGGAGATCGTGTGAGGGAGAGATGACAGAATTCGGTCAACAGTGGACCCATCTGAAAAGGACAGCACAAAAGAGAATACAGGAAAGATGTGTTGTTAAAGTCCTATGTTCCACTCGGAACTCAAGGGAATGATGATATAATAATAAATATGATAAAATATAAATGTATTGCAATAACCATAAATCACTTCGTTTTCATATAGACAACTCACACACAGGCTAAATGAGTTGTTATTATCCCTTTAGTGCGGCTAAATTTCACTTAGCTTCAGTCTTCATGAATCATGGGTAAAACACTCATCAACAATGCTTGTTCAGTATATTAGTATCACAGTTTGGTCTTGCACTGCTGCGCAATTGCTGTCAATGTTCGTGGACACTGAACGGATGTCCAACGACCCTAAGTATTCGAAGTGACCTCGTTTTCAACGGAGGTAACAGCCACTGTTATAACTCTAACACTCACCCGCCGACAGAATGCCAGAGAGGTGAGACTGACAGTTTTAATGTATATAAGTTGACGTATTTTTAGTACATTTATAGCGATCACCCATGAATTTGATGACTACGCTGTTGAACACCTGACTTTTCCATGTTATTTTGTTGTTGAGTTTTGACTTTCCTACTTGTCTTTATTATCAGACACACTGGGCTTCAGTTGGTAGTTAGGTTCCTAAATAGCATTTTGAGTTCTGGAGGGGTTTTTTCCAGGAAGAGCAATATTTCTCGATAGCGATTATTGACAATTTCTGAAATAGACACATGATAATTCTTTTGGGCAGGAAACTATCTGGAAATCTCGTCTATCGATTCAATAATCTATTCTGACCTTCAGCATAAGTGGGAAAATCTAGTATCACAGCCACTGCACGGATAATTTCCAGCAAAGGTACAGGCTTCAACCCCAAACCCGAAGTAAGAGCAGAACTGTCCTAAGTAGGCTTGCACCAGAAATGAAGCCGTTGAAAGCAATGAAAGATTGCTGCACTATTTTACAGCAACAACAAGCGATTGCAATACATACCTTCAATTTTGAGATTGTCCGGAGTCTAGACCCTGAGAATAAGGTGGCTGAACGCAAAACAGTTGGCAGCTAACAGTGTGCATTCAAACGGCGAAACATATGAGAGCTTAATATTAACTACCAAATGGTCTTATTCACCTATAATTGTAAAACAGCATCTGTCAGCCAACGCTCATAAACTGTCAATGTCCAGCTCTTACCACGCTGAACCTCACGCTGTCCCTAGAAGGCTTTCAGAAACAGTTGTAATAACCAATGCGAAGCAACCAGAACACAGATTGGCGACTCAAGAATCCTTTATTCTTACGCCAACGTGTAACCAACAATAAGGTCATTACACGAGGTCTAAGAATAAATGTTAAAACAATAAATCACGCTAATACTTATGACAGTTTTTGATCTTCCACTAAACAGCGAACGATAAGACGATGACTCCCGCGAAAAATATGGAGGAGTTGGGTTTGAGCAAACAACCACGAATTGATCGTTCAATCTTCAACTACGTTGACAGCATCTAAAGTAAAAAAAAGTAAAGTAAAAATTTACTATTTGGAAGTACAATAATAGACGCAACATGGAGAATGGCGTTAGTAGATGATTAAAATAAAGCTATCGTCCTGGGAGACACACGGTTTCTCGGACTGAACATTACGACATATTTTCAGGATAACAGCCCCACTAGCTACAAACATGAGTACCTGTCATGACAGTCTCACTTCATGGATAAGCAGTGTTACGTCTTCGGCAACCCCGATCCTGCGGTTCTCTGTAGCAGCGTGTATAGCGACAAAGGGAATACCAAGTGGGGTCCATTAAACTGCAATACTACCGGCAATTCATACTGTATTCCTGACAACAGTATGTCTCAAGTTCATGCCACAGTTACATTTGTTACATGTTATACCAGTATTGACGATCACCTATTTTTGTTTCGGATGTCAATATCTGTATACAACTGAAATTTCGGGAAAATGTAGATGGAATAAAGGATATGATAGTGAAAATCATCGAGAAGTCGGCGTCAGGAACGCATAATAAGGAAGAAGGATAAACTGTTTTCAAAAGAGGCAATATAACGAGACACTTATACATCTATATATTGCATGGAGGATTTAATCATGAGCTGACATCAGTTAGAGAACCACTGGAAAACCTGGGAGTAGTGGACAGCTGTTTTGTCCTAGTTTGGGACTCCTCATCAGTACGCACCCACCGGGATTCGAACCCAGGACCTTCTGGTTACAAGGCGAGCTCGTAGACCATTGAGCCACTGGGACCCGATCCAATGGTCCTTGAATTCTAACTTCTGCCAGTTCACGACATAGCGCGACCACTTAGTAATGTCTTCTTCGATGAGTTACTGCCTCATCTTCGACCTGCTGTACCCTACTGGTCACGGCTTCCCACTAGAACCCCAGGTTAACTGGCTGAATAGGGCCAGTCACTAGTGAGCATCAGATGAATTTTCAGTGGTTCTCTAACTGATGTCAGCTCATGATTAAATCCTCCATGCAATCAAACAAAATCCCTACAAAAACCAATACTTGAAAATAACTATATATATATGTTATATTAATTTCTTCCAATAGCAACAACTTCAATGACGCGTAATTTCCGTAATTTTCGAAGTCTGGTGACATAAGTCAAATTGTTAATGGCAACTCAATATCATCCCAATAATTTCCGAAATTAAATCTCTACATAAATTTACTTGCAAGCATTTTCCATTACAAATAAATGGCATGCCGCACTTCTCTTATTTAATTTGAGTGAAACATGGAAAACGAAAGTCAGTCTTTAAACGGACTATCACTAGACTGGTGACAGTAGTAAACATGGGTTTAATGGCTTATATTTGAGAGGAAAATTGTGAATAAACTTTCGAAGAAGATGGAAAAATGAGAAAAATTGGCCTTGCTTTACTTAAAACGATTTTCGTCAATATATTAACTGATTAAAATTGTCCACTTCCCCCACGTTTTCCTGCTTCGCCCATGTTCATTCTTCAGATGGATGGCTTCATCTGAGTCTGATTTCCTACTAGGCAGTGGCGGGTTTGTTACTTTAGAGTTGTAGGATCCCGTTATCTTTAGTCGTTTGTATATCATAAAATTGTCTTTTTATCTCTCGTAATGCTCTCCCCAACTCGTTTCCTCAGTACTGTGAAAACCATATCTACTCTCTATTTCAATATGCATATGCTCAGTGGTTTATCTTCCATTTAACAATCCTCTCCGCCTTACACCGGCTTCCGTGTATACTCAGAGTAAGATTCCTCGTTCTGCCCATTCTTTCCTTCTACGAAGACAGTACAGGTTACCTCTAACATCACCTTTACAGAGTTTCAGCATTTTTCTACATATGTTCTTTCCGTTACGATGGTTAAAGGCGAAGGTTATTTTCCTATTGACTTTCATGAGGGTGTCATCTGTCGAGTTGTCAGCTCCATACATTCCCAGCCCACAGCTCATGGAGCCACTATGAGAATAATTGCTGCAACTCAAAATATTACGCACACTAACCGACTCGAAAATATGAAAAGACAGGTTGCCGTTCCAAGGATTGTTTATTCATCCACTGACATTGTACTAGGACTAGAAGGTTAATGCAGCACAAAGTTCGTAAATAAGCACCAGTTTAATTAACACCAGCACTTATGGTCATTTTCCCCAGTCTACCGCCAAATAATGAATGATTAGACTACGGTTACAATTGCTGTCTCCCGCGGAAGATGAGATCCATTCAAGTAAACAAGCCACACGTGTCTCTTCACTCAATGTTCACCAACTTGTATATATCCATGTGCTTGTAAACACTTAATCTAATCACTATGTGAATAAATGTGCAGAAATCTCATATATTTTGCTGGACGCCTCTAAACTGATTATCCATTCTCTCCGGGAGCTATCTGTCCCCAGTTGGTTCCAGAAAATTAATGTACCATCACAGCTTGTAGTTTATTTAGTGAGTCCACCTACATTCCGGATTCTCCCGCAGATTTTCAACACTTCTGCTACCTATCTTCTTATCTCTTCCAATGTTCGAGAAGCCTTTTCATCTTCAAACATTGCGTGGACATTCGGTATCTCCATACTCATTGTTACTTAAATCGAAAGATGTTTGTGTCATGAGGTCTTACGAAGGCCTTCACCTACTAATGTGTTCAATCCAGATTTCAGGGAGGGGATAAAATTCCTTTTTGATTATTGTTTGAGGCTGTTGTAACACGGACGTTTTCCTTATGTTGGGATTGCTAGCTTCACACTCAACCTTTTCACTTCGGAATCTTGGGAGAGACTAATGGACTAGGTAGTTCTAATACACTTTTGTACACCTGAAAAATATCTGATTTAAGGTCTATTTTTCGAGTAAATCTGGAAGAGGACCTCCCTTTTCACTGTGCAAACTAGACTGGGAATTGTAGGTTTACTTTTTTTTAATGCTTATTTTAATTTTAGCCGTCGATAGTTAGGTTGGAGACCAACATATCTCCAAGTGATGAATAACTGATGTGAATTGTGCTGAAAGTGCAGCTGAAATGCTCGGCAATCAGCAGACACCCATAATTTTCCGTTATTAAACAGAATTTATATTGGATTTTGTTTTAGCTCTTACTATGGACCATTTAATCTTGATTCATACATATATTGACCTTGTTCCGTCGGCCTAGAATAAGTCACTCACCCGCGGCGGCTTAAAAGTAACAATGGGGCGTGTCGGCGTTTCTGTCCCAAAGGAGCGCTTCCTGACATGCATAAGCTTCATCTATATGTTTGCTTTCGCATCTCTGTATATTCAGCTACCTGGTTAGTGCATAACAACTAATTCTAATGTTATAAGGATTATTCAGTGAAAATGGCGTGACTCCTGTGCAAACTCAATCCTTAGCGGGTAAGAGTATTAATTGAGTTTTATTCAGAGCAGCTCCGCGTGACATTTCGGATGCTGTGAACGATTTGAACGTTCTAAGATTTTCAGAGTTCCTGCATATTGATGCCTACCAATGTTTGGAACTCGTCACAGTTGTTGGCACCATCCTGGCCTTCTTTTCAAGCTTCTTCATCGCTTACCGGACAGCGCCGACTTTCTTCGTGCTTTGGGTGTTGTATATGAGTGCTTTAAAGGTTTGAATGCGTTTGTTGCTTTAACCAGTACTAGGTTGGTCAACCATTTCTATGGTTTCAATGGTAAGGACACCATCTTTTTATAATATCTGTTTAGGGATATTTTACTTTTGGAAGCCGGATTTCTTGCAGTTCTGCTGTCAAGTTTTGGCGCTGTTTTAAGCCTTCCTCGGTCAGTAGCCAGTGACAAGATCGGAATGTGGCTACTGCGTTGGCTGTTATTCCGGCTTATGTTTGCTTCTGGAGTGGTTAAGTTGACTAGTGACTGTCCTGCATGGTGGGGTCTGAAAGCTCTTCATTGGCATTATCAGTCTCAAGTTTGTTCATAAATATCGGTATTTAAATATAAATCTTATTTTAGTGTATTCCGACTCCAGTTGCTTGGTACATGCACAGTCTCCCTGGTTGGTTCCACAGTATATGTGTTGCAGCTGCATTCATAATCGAAATCCCTATGACATTTCTGTTTTTTGTGCCTCTTCGTCTTGTTCGTCTTGTATCATTTTATTCGCAGGTAAGTCTTGCACTTTAATGTAGTGAGTCTTGTTATTTGTAACGTGCATTGACTAATGTCTAAAGATCCACTTCTGTAGAGAAGACCTTTCTTACTAGTTGATTCCGTGAATTCACACTTCTGACTGACTGAGTTTCAGCATAAGACTTTGCTTAGAAGCGCAGCCGATCAAGTGACTACATTCTGTTAAAAAAAGTAGAGAGAATTCAAAAGGATAGGTACGTGTAAAAACTGAGGATTTGGTGGATATGGAAGATTGCAAACAGTGATTGAGAGCGGTTTTAAGCTATACCAATAACAGTCTCCAGCAATCGGTTCTTAGTTTTATGTTTTACTTCAATTGTTTGCTTAGTAATAAATCGCATGACTTGATCACATCGAGGGTGGTCATGTATTCACAAGTATATCACCTAGTATGTAGCAATAGTAATCTTTAGAAAATGAAGACGGCGTGATTTTGAAAGGATAAAGTTATTTGATAGACTTATTATAAATCCTCATCAGCGTCTCAAGAAACCTGGTCAAACATTGCACACCAACTACTTCGCTCCAAGCAACAATCGAAAACTTCATGAATTGATGTTATGTTTTAATCTGATCACCTGTGAATACAGTCTGGCCTTATCCATCGTCAGCTTATATTTTTGGATGCGGAACGCAATGAATTATCGTATGCAACACGTGACCTGGTTGTCTCAGTCGATCTAGCTTCACAACCTCAGTGACTTACTTTCCTAATCTCGCACTCTACGCCTAACCTTAATAATACTCAGCATATTATATCAGTGAACACGCAGGACAAAGCGCAAACATCTATGATATTCTCACGCTTTCCACTTACGATGGTCGTTTCGATGCTGCAGAGAAGGACAAAGCGAACTGCTGCACAGGGTCTACGTCTTTTGATAAGTAGACATTACGTCTACACTGAGCTGTTCGTGTCCCTGCTGAGATGTGGCCAGCTGATGTAACTTCCCGAACAAATAAAGTTGTTAACAGGCTCTAACACCCCACCCTACTTTTCGGCTGGGGGTCGATACAGTTCAGTCTTCAACATAATCTTGCATTTAGCAAGGGCAAATCACGCACCAAACACACTAAGGTTTCTGCTCAAGGTGTTCGGAAGACTTGGAATTTTAACAGTAGTGTTTTTGAACTGTTCCATGAATACCTCGTCGTCTGCCTCTACGACTCTGTCTCTGTCTGTCTGTTTTCGACATAGAACTTTGCATAAATGTGCGGCAGTTCAAGTCGCCACACTCCGTATAGCACGCGAAGCAAGAGAAGAAAGTACAAGAAAAGCATAATAGAAACAGTGAGCAGAGGTGTGAGACAAAGGAGTAATAAAGAAAAATAAAACAGTTTCATTGAGATCATAAGTCACAGGGAGTGGATGCATCTGCGCCACTGAGAACGATTTTGAGCCATGTCACCAATTGTTTCCAACCATAGATTTTTACCGTCCCGAGGACCCCAGCCTGGAAGTCTACACCTTCCTACGTGGCTTAGACCAACTGTTGTGGATTTCATTGACTGGTGCCAAGTTTTTGTTTGACCGCCGCTAGCTTTTTTCCAGCCTGACCCTATATCCGCTAACATTGCTCGTCGAGGGAGGCGATGGCTTGGCATACGTAACACATGTCCTAACCATCTCAGTCTTTGTAGCTTCACGACTTCGTCGATTGATTTCCCCTGTTTACCTAGAACTCGACGCCTAACCTCAATGTTGCTCACCTTATTATGCCACTTTACACGGGAAATAGAACGCAGGCACCTATGATCAAAGACAGCTAGTCTTTTCATGTCTTCCACTCTCAGTGGCCAGGTCTCACAACCATAAAGGAGGACGGAGCGGACTGATGAGCAGTACACCCGCCCTTTGGTCGATAGTCGAACATCTCGTCTACGCCAGAGTCGGCGTAAACTGGCAAATGCGAAACGAGCCCCTTGTATTCGTGCTGAGATTTCGTCAGAGATCAACCCGTTGGGGCTGATGGTACTTCCCAAATAAGTGAAGCGGTCAACGTGCTCTACCACTTCACTTCCTATTTTTAAACTAGGCGTCGATGTAGTCCAGTCCTGTAACATCATCTTGCATTTGGCGGGAGCGAATCGCATGCCAAACATTCGTAGATTGCTGCTCAAGGTGTTTAGAAGACTCTGCATTTTGTCAGCGTCTTCGCCTAGAAGGACTATATCGTCTGCATATTCCAAGTCAACGAGATTATTCCCTGGTAGCAAGTCAATCCCTGAGTCGCTGAAGTCACCTAGGGTTAAGTCCATTAACACATCTATGATGAAGTTGAATAGAAAAGGGGATAATGGGCATCCTTGACGGACACCACTGGTCGTCATCAGTTCAGATGACAGCTCGCCGTAAGCCCTCACCTGGCTGTATGAGTACGAGTAGAGTGCCTTAATCAGTGCAATATATTTTCTCGGAATTCCCTTTACAGCCAAGCATCTCCAGAGAACTTCCCGATCGACAGAGTCGAATGCTGCCTTTAGGTCAAGAAATATAATGACTGTTGGACGCCGGTAGGAATGCCTATGTTCTAGAATCTGTCGGAGGGTGAAGATATGATCAATACACCCTCTTCCTGGTCTAAAGCCTGCCTGGCTCTCTCGTGTTTGTGCTTCCCGAGCACCACTCAGTCTACGCATGATTATTGAGCCTAAGACTTTAGATACTATATTAGTCAAGCTAATCCCTCTGTGATTATCACAGGAAGACTTGTCTCCCTTCTTGTATATGGGGATAATCAGTGACTTACACCAACCCGATGGGACTTCTTCTGATTCCCAGACGCTGCCTAGTACCTCAGTTAATCCAGACAGTAAGCTGTCTCCACCGTACTTAAATACCTCTGGAGTCATTCCATCAGGTCCCGCTGCTTTGCCTAGTTTCAGATTGGTGACAGCTTTAGTAACCTCAGTTAGGGACGGAGGACCTGTGTCTATATCCCATTCAGGGAGGTGTTGGATGCTCGGAAGGTTGAGCGTGGCTGTGGGCCAATTAAACTGCTCCTCATAATGCTCTTTCCAACGATCCAGTCGTCTATCCTGGGAGCTAATTATAGTGCCATTTTTTTCCGAGATTGTCTCACTTATGATTTGTCTTCTCCCACCCGTTTCCCTGATGAGTCTAAAGAGTTGCCTGGTGTTGCCTATCCTCGAAGCTTTCTCCATCTCTTTGGCTTTTGTCGCCCACCACTGTTCACGGTCCTTGCGGAGACTTTTCGTAAGTTTCCTTTTGTGCAGCTTTCGCTCCTCATTGAATTCGGAGCTCGCCGGAATAAGTCTTCTAGCATCTATCAGTTCGGATGAGGCGGTGGAGATCCAGTGGTTTTTACTCACCTTTGGGTTTACCTTATTCACAGCTTTTACAGCTGTATCTATGGCTGCCTGGATATTCTTCCAAGCTTCTTCAGGGTGAGCACAGCTGTCGAACACAGATATGTGTTTAGCTAGTTCTTCCTCAAATAGGGATTTAGTTTCCTGATCGAGCTGGGGACGTGATGGTTTTACCGCCAGCTGTTTCCTACGTCCGTTCAGTCGTAAGCACACACGAGCGCGGACCAGTGCATGGTCGGTATCTACACACGTGTTCCAGAAGGAGCGACAATCTCCTACCGACCCACGCCAACGATAGCTTATTGCTATGTGGTCTATTTGTGTCCAGCGTTGGTTTGATGAAGAGGGTCTCCAAGTCAAACAGTGTCTCTCCTTGTGTTTGAAGTTAGTGCTTACAAGAAACAAATGATTATCAGAGCAGAACTGTAGGAGACGGTCACCGTTGTCGGTTCGCTGGCACGGAACTCCATAGGTGCCACCGACATCCTTCTCAGATTGACACAATTTCCCTACTTGAGCATTAAAGTCACCAGCTAGAACGACTATGTCTGAGCGTTTAGCCTTTCGCACCAAACTAGACAGCTTTTGGTAGAACTCATCCTTCGTTTCATCTGAACTGCAGTCAGTGGGGGCGTAGGCGGAGATTACGAAAAGGCATCGGCGAGTAGTGCAGTCCTTTCTCCTTTTTACTGACCCGTTCAGACGGACAGCACACATTCGGCTATCTACCGGGATCCAGTCAAGCAATGTCTTTTCTGCCCTAGTACTCAAAGCTATCCTCTTTGACTTGCACGGTCTAGTGATTGTAAGTCTAGAGACTACAGTAAGACCCACCTCTTACTTTCAATGTGTAACTGTTGACGTAAATGATCAAACCTCAAGCCTAAAATGAATTAAATTAGGACTGGTGACGTAACAATGTGTTCACAGATATACTGGAGAAGCTGATATCTTTATATTGAATTCTATAAACTGTTTTATTTCAGAAACCTGCCTATTGGCTTTGTTGTTTACAGTAAAGTCCCAGCCTGTCACCCTCGAATTTAATGTGATGACTTAATTAAATAGTTTTTAGTAGATACTTTGTCGTGACTTGTATTCCAACTAATTAATTTTTGTATCTGTTGTATTTCAGGTGCTGCTCCAAGTTATGATAATTTTAACTGGGAACTACAACTTCTTCAACTTTCTCACCATTGCTTTATGTTATTCGCTGTTAAAGGACGACGATTTTATTCCTCGTAGGTTACCAATTTGAATAAATCATTTTTTTGCCTTAATATTGTTAATTAAATTGTCTTCTGGTAAAGTTGGCAAAATTTCGTGGTAACAATATTATATTTAGTAACAATGCCTGTAATTGAAAAAGGTTTTCTTATTAGAGTTTGTGTGTATGCAAAAAGGTACGGTAGTAACTGTAATTCTGTCGCGGTATCGTCTCTGATTTCTGAATTTTTTACCTGATGCTTATTTCATTTGTTAGTGCTCGCATGTTTTCTTATCCTCTTTTATGAATCCTCTTTTTCAATCGATGAATGTCCGTTTTCCTACCGTTGTTATGGTTCTATTTTCCTCATTAACATACAAGATGCTGTAATTGTACATGAGCATTAAAGTCCTCCATATTGTTATTTTTCCTGTTCTAAGTGAGCTCATTCTTAATCTTTTCAACTTTATCACTTCCTACTTATTTCTTCAGTTTTATTCAACTTTATAAATAAATAAGTCCCACACCTGATGTGCTCACTATTCGATCCTGCTGTGTAGTTTTGTACAGCTAAAATAATTTTAAAGCTTTTTATGCTTACCAGCCCTGAATAATCTTCATATTTCATTAAGGTACCTCATTCCCTCTGTTTGAAAGGGATGTTCTCTAATTCATATATTTCAATTTCTGCTTTATAGAACGCAGACGGAAATGGAGCACCTCTGGACTATTTTCAGGCGCAATTTCTTCGATTCTGTTGGTTTTCGTTCTTGGTGTTTCCGCTTATTTGTTCAACTTTTCCATCTCTAACCAAGTAATCACAAGTTCTATAGGTAAGGCGTCTATTTTAAGATTATTAATTCCTGTTCTTTAAGATCTATCTTTATAAAGACTGTTTGTTATTACGTTTCTGCTTTACTGTGTATTATTCCTCAGGTTATTCTGTCAAACAGAATTTTACATCCAGTAGTTTTTGTCGATGTATCTAAACAGGTAAAGTAGTGTAAGTTTATACTTCCTTGTCATGTAGAGATAACGATTCGAACAATTTTTATTTTCTAAAAACTAATATGAAGGAATGGAAAGAGACATAACAGAATCTATGTTCATTAAGGTCACACTGTATACATGTAACAAGGGTGACTCAGAACAACTGTCAACTACCTAGAATATAAGTCTGAATACACAAAATTTGAATGAGCAAAAAAATGAACTAGATATATGAGTACTAATCATGAATGTATGAATTAAAACACAAAACAATTCCATCAGTGGTGTGAACACGGGCAGTAATTTTGTTCGAAATATTACCAATAACAAAACTTATTGTGTGTAAACTATTGAAATTATACTCTATTCAAGTTAGGAAATCCCAACAGCCTACATATCTACTCTTTATGACACTAAATTGATTCTAGAGCGTATTACATTAAAGCATATCTGTCTCCACAAAAGATAACAGAATTTAAGTGCATTTGTTTTTGCTTCTGTATGTTGTTCTTGAGCCTTTTTATCTATTAGCTGTAGTTTGCATATTTCCAAGCGTAGTTTAATGCTCTTTTTGTAAAATTGTCTTTTTAAGGCTTGGGTGACTGTTATGATGACTTAATAGCTCTAGTTCCACCTTCTTAATGCTAAAATCTCGCGTAAATGTGTGAGTCCAATCTTCACTCGCCATACCGACTTCTCAATCCAAATATAATATCAGGTCAAAATTCCAATCCTATGAATTTCAGGATGTTTGACTTTTTCACGTACTTGTCACATTAACATTTAAATGTGTTTGTGAAAGTCACTAAGTTATGCTTAATCGTATTAGAAAGTACCATATGCAGTTAGTGAGTTGTGAGACTTGATAGGTGGTCTGAAGCTATATGAAAGCGTCTAGGTGAAATATAATCACATTCCTCGAATTGACGCACCTGTGTTCTTAGCTGCTCTGGTGTTAAAACATCTAATGTATTGAGATCTGTGTTACGTGTTTCTAGTGATTCTCAGTGTTTCCGTACTTTTGTTTTTACCAAATTCAGGTTTCACTAAGAAAGAATTCTCGTGGTTCGTAAATACATCTGTGAAGTACAGTATTTATCTTGGGATCGCTTTATTCATTGTGGAAGTTCTGCACAGTGTAGTTGTGTAAGTGTTCTGTGCTACATTCTGAAAACTTGTTTATTTTTATACAAATAATACTGCTTAAGTCCTGAGTTCCATTTTCTATGTACAGTATACAGTGGATTGTTGCTAGTCTGTAGATTTATTTCTTCAGACTGAAACGTTTTTGTCGCTTTGCACACAGCATTACGAAATAGTTGTCAGGAATTTGTGAACGTAAGCTAAATTTCTCTAGTTACCAAGGTATCCAACGTGTGTATATAAATAACTGTGCACATCTGTGACTCGCTAACCTAAGCATTCTGTTTCCAGCTGATGAGCTATGGTGTCGAAGTTTGTTCTTATCATCGATTTCCTGTTATGTTTTATTATGTAGTACATAAGTCTGTAAATATTATTAGGCTGGATATAGCTGTAGTAGTCATGAGTATGAATAATAGGTTTATACAACTTGTGCTTCACCCACAACAATAAACTTAAGAACTAAGTTCTAAGGTAGTAACTAATTTCTTCCTTTAGAGTTTGTGTCCTAACTTAGCTGTATTTTATTCTGAAAGGACTAAGAAGTGTACTAATTAGGTGCACTTCTCAGTAGTGTATTGTAAACTAGTTTCATGCTAATGCACTTTTACACTCCAGCTATTTTCTATTTGTAAATTTTTGTCCGCATTCCGATGTATCATGTTTCATACCTTTGTCTACTTCATAGGGCTCTAAATGCGCGTCCATTTTGGCGTAAATTATATGAACTGGTTGGTGTTATTTTCGTGGCTGCTATCGGTTTAACTGTTCTAATGGGTAGTTTGGTAAGTACCACTTTCCGGCATCTATTCACTTGTTTCATTTGACATGATGAAGGGTTACAATTTTACTTGAAATAACTGCACTGAAATTATTAAATGCCTAATAAACACTAAGGATAATAGATATAAGTATAAAACTTGGGTACTGTGGTAGAGTATAACTCCATTATGGATACGATTTTATTTTGATAAATCCCACAGTGTTATACAGTAATATAAACTGATGACGTTTTGAGCACAAATTATTGCTCATAATCTTATCAAGTCACTGGCACAACGTTTTGCTTCATTTATATACATGAGTAAAATTGTATCAGAAACTACAAGCGGTGCTTGTATACTTGAAGACTGTCTATCTTAGTGACCAATGAAAAACAATGTTAAACGTAACGTAACAGATCACCACTTCACCCACTTATCATTCGCAACATTATAAAGAGATTGAGAAATCGATTGAAAATTATAATTTTCTTATTATTAATATTAAAAATACCAAACAGTTAGTTGATCGTTACTCCAAGTTACATTGTAGTGTGAAAGTACAGCATATGTATATACCACTGATTGAGATGAGTAGTTGTTCACCACCCAAATCAACCTGTTTCTCTCAGGTAGCAAGTCAGAACTTGGGTGCTTTAAACGGATTCGGTTCTCTGAGTTGAACCAGTCACATCGTTGATAAGGTCGACCTCAAATGAGCGAAATGGCCAACCAGTTAGCAGTAGTACCGGTTAATACGAGTGGTATACAACTACTCATCTCAATCAATCAGTAATATATGGCGTCATGCATTTATGCTTGCTTTGTTGAATACCGTTTATTGTCTCAAGTAGATCACATGTTTTGATGTTATTGATATCAGTTTCCGAGGGAAACTGGTGAAATCTCGCCTCCAAATGTGTGAATTGCGAATTTGATTTACTGTACTATACTATCTAAATGCACGGTGTGTGCTTCACACGATCAGATTTTAAAGTATCTTTGTAAAATTAGAAGTAATCCAAGTCTGTAGATTGCTCTTTTTATGTAAACCGTCAGAAGTGATCGAAAAATTCGTGTATATGTAGAATTTTGTAACTACCTTCGAGTGAATGAATGACAAGTCACTGCGATACAGTTTGTATGTTATCACGTGTCCAAAATTTGATCTTTTTGTCAGATTTCATACTGACCACTTTCCTATAACTGGTAATCAGACTCACTTAACTCTCTGTTATTTGCTTTTTAAGGTCCCATTCGCTTCCTTGGACCCTACCATCGAGTTACCGCCCCAAAATCGTCAAATCTACAAGAATTTGAAACCGTATTATATTACAAATGGCTATGGGCTGTTTCGTCGGTTAGTTCTTGTTTTTTTTATCCTGATTCATAATTTCTTTGTAAATGCAAAACCTATACCAGGTAACTGCGTTCTAACAATATTCTCTCAATAAAGTACTGTTTTTTTGTCTAATTTTGGTATTTCAGCATGACTGGAGTTGGAGGTCGTCCTGAACTTGTCTTGGAGGCTGCATCAAGTCCAAACGGTCCGTGGTCTGAGTATGGATTTAATTTCAAGCCTGGTCGTGTGGATAGAATTCCTCCGGTCGTTAGTAAGTCTTATGATATGTTGTAAAGTTCACCTACTACTGGACATTTTTCGTGTCTTAGATTTTGTAAATTTGCATGTTTTTCCTGTATTAAATAACATCTATTTGCAAGCCTGGAAATGGTTTCTCTTGACGTAGTTTATCATGAATTGGTGGTAATAAGCTTGGATTCGGATATTATTAGTTTATTAGTGTCCCAGCGCTTACTACAGATGTAGTCACTCAAATATATATTTTTTGCTTAACCATATAGATAGATCATTATCTATATATTTAATGTATTCATAGTTACTTCTGGTGTTTTTATTTCAAAAATTTAGTCCCTCATCAGCCTCGTTTGGATTGGCAGATGTGGTTTGCTGCACTCACAAATTATCGTAATCATCCATGGTTGATGAATTTAATTTATCGACTACTCAATCAACAACCTGAAGGTGAGTTTTATGCATCCATTGTTAAGTGATTAATATTACTGTGTTATGATATGAATAAGAGAATTTATAACTATTCCATTTGTTGATGTGCATATTTGTCAAGGATGAAACTGTCGTTTCTGTAGTTCTTTTTCATTAGAAGTTTGTGTGTTAGAATGCTTTGTCGAAATCATCACATTCTTATTATGCTGTCGACACGACCTACACGTAATGATTAGTTCCTTTCAGTAATGTTAGTACTTTCATAAGGTGATGGGTGAAGCTGTGATACACCTTTTCGGTTGTTGTTTTTGTCGTCTGATTATGAGATACTCATCTTAATTGTCACTTTTATATTTACCCAACACCTAGAAATATGTAGACAGGCGTATGACAGCTAAGGTAGAGTAATTAAATTTCTTAGGTTTTTCAAGCAAACACTAATTAAATTCTAGTCAGTTAATTTCGACCACATGGAACCTAACAGTGGGGAGATCACCAAAATTAAACTAGTTCAATGTTAGCTTTGTGAATTTTGCAGTCCACTATTCGCTAGTTATCGATTTCAAAATAAATTTTCTGAAGACTTAATGAGTTGTAGCTAGAGTAGTTGACATAACGTACGAGGAAGCATTCAATCATCGATAACACTGAGTATGATTTAGGAATTTTAGGATTTAGGAATCATGGAGCATAAGTGTTCGTCAATTTTCAGTACTTCTCCGGCTGATATTAATTCTTGGAAAATGATCATGTTAACTATGATGGGTTAAGTTGGCAAAAGTTCGGTTATCGATTTTGTGACGCAAGCTGTTGTTGGAAGAATCCGACCTAGAACACTAGCATGTTACACCAGTCGAACAAACAACTTAACATTTTGACTTGGTGTTATGTTTTACGCCGACTGTTTTAAACCTTCCATACTCTCCCCCATCGGGACACCATTAGTTTGGCTTTTATGGCAATATTCGTTAGTTGAATGTCGGTTGGTATAGGTTATATTCCTATTTCAATTAACGTCTATGTTCATCCTTATTCGATAATCGTTATTTTATCTTTTTCCCTTAAGTTTTACAACTGCTCGACCTTTCCAGTCTACCGAACAATCCAAAATATATTCGAGCTCAATTGTATACCTACCACTTTACCAGTGAATCTGATAGGTGGGTCACTTTTCCGTAATAATTACGACCTGTCAATATGAGTTTAAAAGTAGATCCCATATGTTTTCATTTCAATTATTGTTATGACTATTCGTTACTTTTATTGTATCCAGGCGTTAACACTGAATTGAGGAGCAATGGTTGTAATTCAGAATGTGAGTGTTCTGGTTGTTTTTCCTAAGATGCAGTTCTTGTTGGTTGATACATTACTTTAAACAGTAATAGACTTCCTGTTTCATAGCTTCTTATTAGAGTCATGCTTTATTGTAATCCTGTATATCTTTTAGAGTCGTCTTTAAGTAGAATAGATAGTTGATTTACTCAGTAAGATAATTCCTTTAGAGGTTGTGAAGCAAGTAATTCTGTGTACTTGATTTTAGGAAATGACAGTCTTAGAACAAAGCTATGTGTAGGTTTTAAAGTTCTACTGTTATAATCAAGGTTAAATTTCTAAGTTTTTTTTTTATTTAAGCAGTGAACCAGATTGGTCTTACATCATCTCTGACGTAGACGTCGTATCCCGCTGCCGATCAAATAAAGTGTTAACTGCTCAGCAGTTCACCCTGTCCTTCTTTATGGATGCTGTTGGAAGTGGAAGATATAACGAAAAGACGGACTGTATTTGACCATAGATGTTTGCGTTTTATCTTCTGTGTTTAGTGGCATAATATGTTGAGTGATATGGAGGTTAGGCGTATTGAGTGCTAGGTAATAGGTGGAAGTCAGTCGATGTAGTTGTGAAGCTACGCATGCCTGATCATCTCCTTCCTCGTCGAGCTGCATTAACTGACAGGATAAAGCTACGAAAGGTTTAGGGATTGTGAAGTCAAAACATGACATCAATTCATGAAGTTTTTAATAGTTCGTTTGACCCAGCCACGTAGGGAGATGTAGACTTCCTGTTTGGGTGCCTTGCAACACTGAAAACCAATGACTTGTGAATGTTAAGGACATGACTTATCGGCACACATAAACTCCCAGATCGAATAGATACTCATTACTCTCCATGTACGTATTCTTCCTTCGGTGCATTCTAGTTCCTTTACGTTTCTCCCCTACATTTGTGAGCTTATGAAGTGAGGTAACTGGAAACACTGGACCTTTGTGTTAAGTTCTACGTTGAAAGTCAGCTAGTGTGGTCTTTTTTTCCAGCTTTGATGCATTAAGACGGTTGTATCCACCCCCACCCCCCATCCAAGTCACTAATGTATTTACTTTCATTCAGTTATTTTTCTTTCTTAAGTCCTTTTTAGTTTAAGATCACCTCATTGCTGTCTACTTTCTTTTATGTGACAGAGATTCGTGACAATTTGTTCTTTTTCTTGTACAGTTTTCTACATTCATTCGTCCATTTCTTAGTTGAGAATGTCTTTGAAGAAGGAGAAAGGTCAATTTTTTTAGGTAGAAATCTTTGAGACTGTCGTTTGTTCGATTGACACCTGCAACTTATTTGGGTGTAGCTATTTTCTGCGCGCTGATTGGCCTAATTTCAAAGCATTTGTTGTCCATCTAAGGCAATGTATTTAGTGCTAAATTGACAATGAAGTGAACTGTGGGAATTATCCATCAATCAACTGACTGTATTTTCCTCGTTACACTGACTATAATTGGTTGTCTTTAGAAAATGTTGCATCATTATGTTCACTTTTATTTGGTATTGACAGGTCTCTCTGATTTTTGGTTTGATCTTTAAATCGTGATTTTCACGCTTCTTTCTACTGCTTTTCTATTTGTGCTTGTGTGTTTTCACAACTTTGTGCGTTTACCTAAATATCAGTTTTGTTACCCTGCCTAGTATTGACTTCAAGCATATTTCTTCTAAAAATCATTTGCTTTTGTTTTTGTTGTTTGCAGTAAAGACTGGTGGAAACGTGTATTGAAATCTGAATACTTATCCCCTGTTTCATTGTCTTCTCAAGTGTTGCGCAGTGCTGTTGAAGAAAATGGCTTGGTAGGAAAACGTGTAAGTAGCAATTTGCATGCAACGCAACGTGTGTATTTGAGCGTTGATTATCTCTCTACAACAAATATAAAGCTAGTTTAGAGAAGAACACGTGAATTACATTTTTGATGCTATATACTGAATTTTTTGTTTTGATGTGTAACCAATGTGTTATGTGTGATAGAAATGACTGAATTAGACAGTGATACTTGTTTTGTGTTTGCACTGTTTATTTATATGGTCAGGTGAAAAGTTGTATCACAACAAAGCATGCATTTAATTGATGTTTAAGTATAAAACAAAAAAACTGTTCGTCAATGCATGTATCATGCATTCTTTTATGCGTAGTTAGTAAATTTTTGATTATATGCAAAGTATCATTTAGATAACTTAATGATTGATTAATTAACGCATTGTAAGTAAATTGTCATTCAAGGTCAATATTGTAGGTCGTTAAACAGCTGTTTAGTTCCCGTTAATAAATATGAGGCTAGATTTATATTCTTTAACACCATTTGTTCTGTGGATTAGAGATCCATACGTTTAGGACAATCTGTCTTTGGAATGCAGTAGTGTATAGTGATTCATCCTGGTAACGTGCCTTATTGACTTAGACAGTTGTTCTTCAACAAAGAATTGTAAGTTGACTGGGAAGCTAATCTTAAGTGTTTGTGTGTGTGTGTGTGACTAGATAATTGAGTTGTATTGATAGCAATACGACTGTCGTGGACATGCTTTCGTGGTCTACTTGTGGTTTGGTATATCGATTCACTTTCTTTACAATTTAGTATATAAGCGGTAACTTGTTTCTTCAGGGTGAATGCGCATACATAGCTTTAAAGATTAAAGGTAGCTTATTATTTTTCCTATTCACATAATATATCTGTGACGATCAAGTAGTCCATGTCAGTATTTGGTGGTTTCAAATCGATAATCACGTCTCCTTCCATACAGACTTGAATTATTTAAATACATTAAACGTTACATGTTAGTTACAAAAATTGTTTGTCAAATGGCACTTGTACTCTTACACACTTATGTATATTATTTTCAGAACAGAAGGACTTGCTGTCTCAGTATAGTTAGCAGAAAAGTCCTCTAATAGTTTTCATTAAATAAATGGAAACTCCTTTTCATGTTGCATATTTAGAAGACCATTTCATTTTTGACTGCTTCATTGTTTCACTTGTTCACTGGTTTAATTTTTATCGATTTCAAAAAAAAATAATTCACGAACCGCACTGCCTTGAACAGCTGTTTTAGTGAAGATGTGTCTTACTGGCTTAAGTTCTCGTCTTTCAGACAACAGATCCTCTGTTTTTATATCACTCCACTTACTTCTACCTAGACAGTTCGGTAATATCAATAGCCGTTGCATAGCGAGTGTGGCTCTTATCCTAGTAACTGAATTCCAAACAACTGTAAGAACAGCTGTTTTGTCCTATTTCGGAAGTCTAGCAGAGATTACCTATCGCCTCACCAGGAATCGAACACGGGATTTTCAAGCTTAATAACCTGAATAGCTGTTGCATTCTAATCCAGTTTCATTTACAGTCTTCAGACTCAACTTGCTGGATTCAATTGGTGACGACTAACTCATTAGACACACATAGAAAATTTGTCTTGAAGTATGTTACTAATAAATGGTGCATTAATATTCAGTCGTTGGATTTCTCAGTTTTTTTTGTATTTCTATTTTATCTGTTGATATAGCGTCCTCGTCCACAGGATCCTACAGTTTTATCAGAATCCCTAACACAACTACGACAGTTCATTGGACAACCACGCGATTTATCACCATTGGTTTTTGTCTGCATAGTGTTGGTGTTAACCAAGCGTGCATTTGGACGAGCTGGTCAATCCACTAGAATGAATTATAACAAGGCCTGAAGTATGCTGCAGATTTTGTTATTCAAGTGTTATCTTGATATCAATGATAATGCATTGTGATGATAACAAAAATTGGCTTGTATTATGCAAATATTATTTTCATTCAGTGCTTATTGCGTATATATTTATTAATCCGTCTTTTTGTCGAGTGCACTTCATATCTCACTTTCATACACAAATAACCTTCCTTATTTATTTCATGTTAGAATGAATTCTATATTCTGCTGTAAAATCTAAGTGAAGTAAAGTTATTTGGAACAATGAACTTTTAGTGTTGTGTAATGATATCATTGTATTTTCATCTCATTTATTGTGTGTATCATATCTATTCATGTATCTTTTTACTATGAACTACAAGTATTCTCACGTATTTAATTGTTGTATTGTTTTTTCTTCCACGCATCACTACACTAGTCAGTCATTCTGATCATTTATCGATCTCATGTATCTTTGACGTCAAAGTAGATCGAATAGTTTGCATGTAGGCATTATTTCTCATTAAATATTGCAAAGTCAAATCTAGATTGATTAGATTTCAGTTAACCAGTGCTCGACTATCGGGCATATTTACTGTGTGGGGTCTAATGATTACTATCAAGTTGGCCAGACTGAAGTAGGTGAAGCGCGAGACTCCAACCCCGTGGCCCATCGACTGTAAGTCGAGTGTTTAAGTCAATGCGCCAAAATTTAAGTAGATCACAAATATTATCTCCAACAAAATAATCCATATAACTATCTGTCAGGTCCTAGATATCGATAACAATTTAAACCGATCGCTTAATAGTATAAATAAGTGACTTCTAGTGTACTGATTGCGACCACCGCTTCCTGGCCTGCTGCTCTAAAAAGAAACAGGTATAGATTGGTGTAAAAGAACTAAGTGTATCATTCTAATTTATTAGGTAGGTCACTTGTGCGGATTATGGCCAGGAAGATAAATAAGCTTTTATGAAGCTCATACTATATCAAAACTATTTCTCTTAGTTTTTAACTATTTTCAAACTCAACATAATCGAGCAAAAAAGGCCTTATTCTTTCAGATGCAGTTCCTTGGGGAGAACACTAGCGAGATACTAACACAGCGTATTAGAAATGCGGTAAAACGAGCATTCCCTGCTGCCGAATTACGTTGTATCTTTAAGACTACTTCTCTTCTGCGTTCGGGAGTAAAAGACAAACTGCCTAATTTCGCCTCATCCATGTGTATCTACCAATTTAATTGCTCCTGTGGAGCCAGTTACATAGGCCGCACAATTAGGCGTGTTTCTCGTCGAATTTCCGAACATCACCCTGAGTGGTTAAGCAAAGGCCAAACAAAATCTATCCGTAGCGCTATTTCGGCCCATGTGGTGGATACAGAACATAGGATTGATGTTAACCAAGCTTTCAGAGTTATTTATCGGATACCAACAAATTTCAACTTCGCCTTAAGAGTTCGATTACTAAATATTGCTGAGGCTGTTGGGATCCACATTAAAAAGCCTAATTTGTGCGTTCAAAAGAAGTTAGTTCAGACGCTGTCCCTACCTTGGCCATCCAGGTTTGAATGATTCTCAATTTTCGTGAAAATTTCCTAATTTTAGTTGATATCCTACTAGCTATTATATCTTTATTACTATTATAATTTAAGTATTTTTAGTGAACTGTAATTGCATTGATCTTGCTTTACAAATCGATATTATTTAAAAAACACTAATATTGTTATTAACTACCAACCTTGAATATTCTGTGTCTATAAACATGTATATAATTGTAGAGCCAGAAGAGGAATTTATCGAAAAGAATATTCTTTGCTCGATTATGTTGTGTTTTATAGATATCTGAATGAATATTTTTGCTATATTTTCAAACTGTCGTAATTCCACTTGTCTCATTGCAACTTAAATGATTCAGATGAGTGCCAGGTTTGCACTTCCAGTTTGTTTGGATACGAGGTGTTTAGCACACCTGGAGCATCCGTTTCAAGTTGACTTCTTTTTATTATTATTCCCCGAAATGCTTGAAGAAATTTGAGCGTTATAGTTATACGTGTCACTTATTACTTGCAATGAGTACGTGATAGTGTAACAACAGAAGGCAAGACACGGGAGCTGAGGGATATTTTCCATTGATGAAACTATTTATATATATTGAATATTCCCGTAATTTATTCAGAACAAAATATTTAGAGCGAACAATTGTTTTCAATAAATTCTTCTCCCGACCGAAAGCTGCTACCTTGACGTGGTGGTCGGGCTTGAACACCGCAATGACCTAATCAAGCTATACTGGCTGAGACTTATGTCTCTTGAGGTTCTACCATGCCAGGCAGGTTGTTTGGATAGCGGTTAAACAAAAAGCAGCTACCTCATCCAATACCATGATCCAAACAAATTCACAAAGTTTCATGCCGGATCGGCCGTGGCCCGGATTAACAACGACCGCGCTTCCTGCTGCCGTGTCACAGGGCGGGAGTGATAAGTATGCTACTGAGGCACACAAAACAACGAAGAACGAACAAAAACAGGCCGCGTGTGACCGGCCACAAGCAGTTGTCCCCTGGGCTCTGCGGTCACGCAACCAACTTCCACGGTGTGGGCAGCCGGGAAGTAACAAACGCCCTCACAATCCGAAATGCACACAAAACCTCTCTAATCCTCACTTCTTCAGGCTCTACAATTATAAATCCATTAATGTAAGCCAGTAAAGGCGAATTAGAATCATATCAGAAAGTGTACTGTGGAACAAGTATAAGATGGGATGAAGCAATAGTCATATAGTTTTTTAATATGCATGGTCAATAACAACATGGGACAGAATGAGATGGAATAATTTAATTTAATGATGTGTATATATATATATATAAATATAGTTAACAGAAAATACAGGTTTCAAGAGTAAGTGTAATCAGGGTGTGTGAGGCAATATGAAAATAAACCAACGAATGGGGCGGTGTAGACATAAGTTCAAGGTTGAAAATAACAACAATAAGAGTGATTGTAAAATAACAACGATGATGTGGTGTAAAATTAAAATTAAATGTACTATTGGTGAATGATTGTCAAATAATAATAATGAATATAATGAAGTGGAATGAACAGGATTTTGTAAATACGATAGCAAGTTAGAAAAGCACTATTTAAACCTAAGGTAATAAAATCATAAGAAAGGTCATGAAATCATAAAAGTCGAAAATGAACGTTTGTCAATGAAACAGAGGAATAGAAGAAGGAAAAGAAAAGAAAATTGTGAAGGGAATTTATAGTGTTAATGGAGGATTTGTTGGCTTTATAGTAGGCCAAGGTAAACATAGAGGTTGAACATACTTCTTCTGTATGCAGAGGGATGGTCTTCTGGTATTAATTGCAACTGCTTCAGCTACTGATAGAAGACGTAGTCGAGCTCCTCTAGATAAATTACTAGGAACGCGGTAAATAACTGAGAACGCTTGGTCAAGTTTTATCGTATGTCCAGTATCTACCAAGTGGGCTAAGACTGCACTATTCATGCCTTTGGTTACTCCTTTACTCAACCATACAGGTACATTTTCACGTGCGCACATGGATAAAGCCCTCTGAGTACGGCCAATGTAACTAGCTCCATATATATATAGTTAATATTCTGTAACCAGTCACCGAGGTTGTGATTTCGGTTTACGTCAAACGACATGAAATAGAATGTTCAAGCATACATAGTATTCTTTTGTTAATGCAGTATATAACAGTGGGAAATGCATTCTGTCTCAAACAGAATGTTCAAATAGATATGTCGTATTCTGTTATTAATGCTGAATGTTGAACTGTTGGGACACATTGTCTGTATCATACCAACACAATAGTATACTGCAGTTAATGTGTTCGTTCAGTCATTACGCACAGATGCATATAGAGTGTACATTTAGTGTTCCAAAACGAATCAAAGCAACTATTTGATATTTTGTTTTAATTTGGTTTACAACCGTTTTGAGATTTCGTATAATGGACTGTTAAGTTACTAGGTACATATATTTTTGGTCTGAATCAGAAAGACTACTTCAAGCATCGCTATCATCTCCAAGCACACCTGTACCTGTTAAACAACAACTGCTTGCATCTTAGTTCTGATGTCTATTTTTCGCATAATGCAACGTTCGAAGATATCATCATTTAGGAGATTTATCGGCGAAGGAGTGAATATTTTGAATTATGGTTAAATGCTGTCATTGTGGAATTCTGAATCGACATTCCTCACTACTACACATTCAGAGGTGATGTAAGGATAAAAACTAAAAGTAGTGAAAAAATTGGGAAGTTTTATATTGCAGAGCGTAATTATTGTCTTGCTATTAGTTGATCTTAGTTATAACGCGTAAAGTTTTTGATATTTCGCTTCAGCTGGCTAACGGCCCATGTTAACAATGAAAGACCAGATGATAATATTAATGGCCTTATTCCAAACAGTACGTTGGACACACTGTTGAATGTAGTACGATACTGCAACTAATTTCCTTTCTACATAGTAAAAGGGGAATAATTATTAGGAAATTTCTATTTTTATTGATATTATCAATGTGAATGTAAAATTAGGGATATTAGTGATTGAAAGGATTAAAAGGGCTGTTAACTTTGCAGTCAGTTAGTAGTTTCGTACCTAACACTTTTCTCATCACACTAAACGCGTGCCAAATAAGACATCCTAGAGTTTCTGTACGAGCGTATAATCTTTAGTAATTGCTTCTAGCCCTACCTGATGAGACTTAAGGGGAAAGTTGTTTATAAAAGGGAGGCTCAGAGTGCGGCACTATGATATTCATCTGTCCTTAGCAGTAATAACTAGACTTTTAATTTTGATCTGGAATCACTCAACTCCATGTCACTCAACAGCCACTTGCATTTCCATTTAGTTGGTGATTAGTCACACCTTATGCTGTGAGGGCTGATAAAACCACTCTGGACTGCCCGAACTTCGGTGAATGGAACTAGGGTTGGAAACCGTAACCCACTAGTTGGTTGGTTGATCCTGAATATGTACTTCGAATGTATTCTTAGCTTATGTGAAGCCATTTCATCTACGATAATATTTCATGATTTCGGAGCCTGTAAATTTGAAATTCGATAAGCTATCACTTTCAAAGAGATCTGTTTGTCGAAACTTCACAGAAAATAATATCCATACAGAGTGGTCTTCTTTTCTTTCTACTAATTTTATTTACGTAAATAAGAGTTTTCGTTAATAGACAAAGGTGCTTTTCCAACAGCAGCACTTGATAATCCGTAACTCCTCATATACAGAATTTGATTTTAATAGCAATAGAGCAGATTAAGCGTATTTCAAGTTTGCCCACGAATTGATTTCAGTTACGGAACCACTGAAAACCAGGGAGTACTGGACAGCTCTTCTGTCCTAGTTTGGGACTCGTCGTCAACACGCACTCGCCGGGTTTTGAACCGAGGACGGAGTTCTAATGAGAAGTAGTGACCGGTAAGGTTAATTATGTCGGGAGTGAGGATGAATACTCGCCGACGACAGTGGTTGGTGGCTGCGCTAAAATCATGAAATGGTAGAAGTTAGAATTTATGAAGCGGCCGTTGGGTTGGAACCCCAGTGGCTGAATGGTTTACAAGCTTTCCCTGTAACTGGAAGGTCTTGGGTTCGGTTTCTGGTGAGTGCGTACTGCCGAAGAGTCCCAAACTTGGACGAAACAACTCTCCAGTACTCCCTAACTTTCATTAGTCCTCTAACTAATATCAGTCCGGGTCAAACTTGAAAAACAAATGAAGTCTTTACAAAATAACTCTTGAAAATTAAGTTTATTTACTAGTTATATGTGTAAATGAATGTTCGAAATTAATATTATCGCCATATTATTTTTTAGTTCATCATTCAGTTCATTAAGGATTTTTTATAACTTTATCTCTATCGATATTAAAACCACCAAGTGATTGCCCGTTAAAGGTATATTATCAATTGATCCATTTTTATGCATAAATAAATCATCTAGTACATTGTATGCATTGATTTAAGCGAATTTACTAAGAGGCTGTTATTGCTATTAGTTTAGAAAATGAACAATTTTTACGCTTTTGTCAAAATAGTTATTTAAAAAAAGAAGTTTTATTTTATTAGCTCATATTTAAGAATGTCGGTAAATTTTTTAAAGCAGTGCATACACTAGTGAAATCCTTTCAGAAATACTCCCAAACTAATTA